AATGGTAGCTGAACAGCAATGCAGCCAGAGCAAAAGGGAGGAATGGCGGCAAGCAGCTTCTTTCCCTCCCTTACATTGTAAACAGGCTACCTCCACCTAAGGGGCATGTAGCTCTTAAAGCAAATTTTAAGTACAAAAGATGAACATTTTTCTTCCTTGGTTTGGGAGAACACACCAATAGTTCCAACTACCACAAAAAGAATTTCAAATGCATAAACTTGAAAATAAGGAATAAGCAAATTATACACCACAGTGAAACCCACTTAAACATCTAACATCTCAGCATATTAGGTTTATAAACAAATTTTCCATGAGCCATAAGGCAAAACTCACATTTGTAGACACTACTACTAGACACAAAGGCTTTGTCAAACTGATTTCCAAGTCCCACCCTCAATATTCAGGTCATAAAAATCTGTAACAATTTAAAGATTTGCCTATAAGTTTGAAAATTGTTTACCAGTGGGCATTTCTAGAAAGCAGAATTAGGAAAGGAGGGAGAGAAACACATATTCATTTTATTTACCTTTGTCTTATTCAGAGCCATTTTATAAATAAATATTTAACCACTGTAAAAATAAACCAGCTGCACCAGCACATATCTAGAATCTTAGCACTTGAAAAGCTCAGGCAGGAAGATTGCGAGTTCAAGGCCAGCATGGGCTGCATAGTGATATGCTACCTTTAAAACTTAAAAATTAAATTATAAACCTAAAATTTTTAAATTAGAAAGCCCTAACTCATTCTCATTTTAACATATTCTCCTAAATAAGCTAAACTAAAGATAGGAGAAAATGCAGAACTATAATAACAATTATCTTCTCATTTATTTTTAAGTGGCCTTTATTGATATAAAATATACATGGAGAAAAGTTACCCAGAACTGTATAGATCATAAAATGTTCACAAACCAAACACAGTACTTAAAACCTAGGTCAAGGAAGAGGAAGTTGCTGGTAGCCCAATGTTCCCCCATACAGCTTCCAGCCACTTCTCTCCTTTAAGACAGCCACTACCTTTATCTCTAAGAGTACAAAATAGCTTTGCCACTAAAAATTACAGCATAAGAGGGACAATCATTCCTTCCTTCAAAAACTATTTATGTGCCTACTGTATGTTAAGTATAAAAACTCAGATCATAAATTTTTCATTATGTGACAAAATTCCACTGAATATTTAAAAGTATGCTATAATACATAGAGAAATGTAATATAGTATATTGAAAGTAAATTTTTTTTTTGCCTTTTTGAGACAAGGTCTCACTATGAGGTTGGCCTTGAGCTCACTTTGTACCCTAGGCTGGTCTCGAACTTGCAAAGATCCTCTTGCCTCAGCCTCCCGAGTGCTGGGATTACAGGTGTGTGCCACCATGTCCAGTCAAAGTAACTTATTATAACAAAAACTGGGTCTGGGGCTATAGCTCAACAACACAGCACCTGCCTAGCAAGCACAAGGTCATGAATTCAATTCCCAGTACCAAAAAAAAAAAAATATGTGTATTATCTGACCTCAACAAGTCATATGGAAAATAACCTTGGCCTAGGGCAATTTTCTGACACAATCCATTAAAACATTTAGACACTCTGTCCCCCTCTTCTCTCTTTCTCTCTTTCTTTCCTTCTCTCTCTCTCTTTCTCCCTAATTTCCATGAGCTAAGCAAATTTGCTCTACCATACACCCTGTCGTGATGTTCTGCCTTACCACAGGCCCAGGAACAATAGAGACATGTGACCATGAACTGAAACCATAAACCAAAACAAATTTCTACTCCTTTAAATTGATTTCCTCAAGTATTTTGTCACAGCAATAGAAAGCTGACTAATATAACACCCTCACCACCTTGTCTGTTTTCTTTTTCTAAATTTTTGCATGCATTCTAATTCTCAGAATCCCTAAAAGTGGATGATCTGATCTTTCTAGTACAGGTATCAATAAAAAGTGAGTAAGATGTTATTTTTTAAATGTAGCTAGAAATTTCAATGAATTTTTATATTTAGGTCACTGGTCATTTACAGAAAAGAAAAATAAAAATCTTCTGCAGTTGAAATATTAACAAAACATATTTCCTCGCATACTTTTGTAACTGTTTCTGCAATGAAACTATGAGATACTACATACATTAAATTGGAAAATTTGGCTTTCCTTGGGACAAATTCAAGAGTGATGGTGCACATATATTTTCACTTTTTACTCTATGTTAATCTACAGTGATATAGATTTCATGTTTATAAGAACTCTCCCTCCAAGTTCCAGCTTGCCAGTGGGACTTACCTTCCACAACATCCCTCTTATAATCACTGTCATTGTCACTATCTGTTGGTCGGTAATAGATATAAAACCCTTGAATGGGAGTGTTATTGTTACTTGATGGGATGTACTAAAAAAAAAAAAAACCAAAAGAAGATTTGTCAAAGACAAAAATGAATGTAACTTTCATATCCATTAAGAGTTCATTATCTGTGTTATAATACTTTTCTAGCTTTATTTTGCAAGCATACTTAATGGTCATTTTTAACTTAATTCAAATATATTTAAAGATAATGAGAGCATTCATCTAAGTACAGGTCTGCTAAATAAAAATACTTCACTAGGTTCAAAGGCATAACGTATACTTGGTTCAAAATGAATAAATTATAAAATGATTTAAGTTAATGGCACTTTGATGACAGCCAAGGAAACAATAAATTTTTAACCTTGACCCTCTTAAACTATGTGCTTTTAGACAAATAATAATCCCTTCTGCTTCTCCTCAATGAAAAGTTCAACAGTTTTGTTACTTACAAAAAAATGAAAATATAAAATTACTGACATGACTAAACCAGGAAAAGCTCTCATTAGAGAAGATGTTTACATACCGTCCACTTTAGCATGATCTGAGTGTCGCTAACAGCCTCTGTGTATGCAATGTGAGGTCCAGTTATGGGACGGCTGGAAAAACGTTTGGGGAATCCAGCCACCTGGTAAGGACGAGATGCTGAACTCCGAAAACTCTCCCCATAATGATTGATAGCAATGACCCTAAATTTGTATATTGAACCTTTAGGGGGAAAATAAAAACAAAAACCCTATAACTATAAAAAACTATAATAAGATATCTGAAGGTAGAATATTCAAAATATGACAATTATATTTAAGTGTCTATCTACTATAATGGTAACACAGTCTAATGCCTGTGTGCTAAGTAGATTTCAAACCACTTGCCAATTCAGCCAATGGGGACTGTCTGTTCGATACCTTGCATTTGAGAATCCAAGACATTATTAGGAGTCACAAGAGTGAATGCTATGAAATATTAGTGATGCCTGGAGAAAGCAGGTAGAGAATAAAACAAGAAGACAGACATCTACTCTTTACTGTCCCATTTGAAGTTATACATATCAGAGACAGTATCAGTTTGCCTTTAAAAGAAAAACTTTAGTGAAATTTAATATGAATATGTTTACAAAGAAGCCATGAGTAAGTGGCAGCAGATGCCCTTCTAGTTTTAAAAAAAATAGGATAAAGGGGAACAGACTTTAATCACAATAGAAGGAATTTATTTGAATTAAATATTAGTAATTTTCTTTTTTTGGTACTGGGAATTGAACTCAGGACCTTGCCCTTGCCAGGCAGCTGCTTGTGCCACTGAGCTATATCGCCAACAAATACTAGTAATTCTTAAAATGCTATGGTTTCTAAATTTTTGAAAATCAGAATTTAAAGAATATAATAAAATCTTTTTTGGTGTTTTTGAGACAGGGTTTCGCTATGCAGTTCAGGCTGGCCTCAAACTCTCAGTGATCCTCCTGGCTCAGCCTCCAGTGCTGTGTTTACAAGCGTGTGTCACCACAACCAGAAATAAGAACACAATAAAATACTAATGCAAATGCTCCAATCATTCAAAAATAACCCTTGGCCTTCTGAACACAATGTCAAGGTATAAAGTGTTAGTTAGCCTAACCCACACTTAAAAATGCTATCTCTCCCAACTAGACTTATCTATGCTTGCGCTCCTCATATTGCTTGGTCAGACAAAGGCAGGCATTTGCATTTAAAAGTCCAGAAACAAAAATGGCTGTCAACCCCAGTAAATAAAAGTTTATTTATGCTTTTTATTTTCTGGAATTTGATCTCTCCTCTATACCCTTACGATTTCTTTTTTCTGGGAAGGTCAGCCTCTGCTGAAAGAAAACTTATAGAACAAGCTCGTGTTAACTATTGTTTCATTTCCATAAGACTAAGCTCTGAGTATAACTGTGCTGAGTGAGATTCAGCATCAGACACTTTTAATCAAATAACACATATTTTTCCTCTTAAAATATTCTATCATAGCAAAACATATACACACAAATGTTCACCACATCATTATTTCTACCATTTTTGTTTGTTTGTTTGTTTTTGTTTTTCTCCGGTACCGGGAACCGAACTCACGACCTTGCGCTTGCCAGGCAGGCGCTTTGCCGCTGAGCTAAATCCCCAGCCCCATCACATCATTATTTCTAATTGTAAATACATAGAAACAATCTAAAATCTAGAGGAAAAAAATAGTTAAGGGATGGGAGTGTAGCTCAGTGGTAAAATGCTTCCCTGGCACATGCAGGGTCCTGAGTTCAATTCCAGCACACCCCCCTATGGCTATATAAAGTATGGTGTGCTTATAGAGTAGATATATAACTATTAAAAATTGAGATTTTAAAGAATTTTAACAATATTAGAGAATGTATATGATACAATATGGGATAAAGGAGACATAAAATATACATGACATGATCCCAGGACATCTTTTTAAAAAAAGGCTAGGGAGAAATTTATCAAAATATAAATACCAAATATTTCTGGATGGATGAATTTCAGGTGGCTTATTCTCTTTATATTTCCTTTTTTTTTTTTTTTTTTGGTCAATACTGAGGATTAGACCCAGGGCCTTCATATTGAGCTCTTCTTTGTATTTTGGAATAGGACTTGCTGAGTAACTAAACTGCCTAGGCTAGGCTTGAACTTGTTATCTTCCTGCCAAGCCATATACATTTCTGGTATTACAGGCACATACCACCATACCTGGCTATATTTTCTTTATTTTCAAATTTCTTTTTACTGTAAGCATTCATTACTTTGCCAATAATGATGCAGTAAAAATACACATCTAAAGTTAGTACTGCTGGCTAGCAAAAGCAAACATTTGAATATCACAACCTGGTTCTAAATTGCGAACTTCCACAGAAAGTTTGGAAGGAGGGATATCTTCAGCCGCCACCAGCCAATCACCAGTCCTCATCCGCTTATATTCGACCTTGAAGGCTGTGATGGGAGAGCCACCATTTGCCCGGGGAATCCATGTGACATACACTGAGGTCTCTGACGCAGTGGAGATAGTTGGTCGATCTGGAGCCTCCGGAACTGAAAATGGAAACACTCACTTCACAGGAACCCACAGTGACAAGAATAACCCAGAAACAAGAATAACTTAAATAAACCAAAAGGGATAAACCCCAAACCTCACGCTATTAATGGTTTCGCACTCAATCTTCTGCCAGAGTTAATATTATGGCTGTCTTCCTGGCATCTATGAAAAGCTAATGGGAAGTGAAAGAGTGAAAACAAGAAATGGAAGGAAAAGTAAAATGACCATGACTTGATAATCACCGCTGACACGGTTAAAGAGTATGACAATTCTGACTATGTTATCTTGGAATCACGAGTAAAATATTGTGTAAGTAATTTTTATTTGGTACATCAAGTTTGCTGTGGTTATAGTTTATAACAGATTGTCACAATTTTGTGTTACCTTACTTAAATGTTTTTCTTTATCCAACCAAACTACATAAAACATATTCAGCCTACCTCACCTCCTGATTATTGTATTAACCATTACTATTACATCTTATTTTAGTCTATCTCATGGCTACATGAATTGTTACTTCAAAATATAGATTGCAAGTAGCAAACAGACAAAATTTGGTTAAATCAATACTTGTAATAATGGGACAAGGGAATGCTGCCCAGAATAAATACAGGAAGACAGAATGTGTAAGTAAAGTATTCTCAGAAAGATGAGCTGCACAAATATGCAGAAAAAGGGAGTCAGGGAGCAGATGCCTGGCAGCTTTCAGTTAGCATGGCCAAAGGAAGAGGTGCCCTAATGCACAAGTGAGATGGACTAGACCCTGTGGCAGGTGGAGAAATCAGGAGTGAGATCATCAGCCACTTAAATCATGTGCCTAGTTCCTCTCACTAACCAGGAAACCTGGTGGTTATAAAAAAAAAAAAAAAAAGAATTAAGATGTGTCATAAACATGTGCCAACTCCCCACAATGAATGTAACCACCATGTACTGAAAATATGTACTAATAAATAAATTAAAAATTTAAAAACTACCTTCCCACTTGGTTTCCACAAGGGAGGAAGAATGCTGATAGAAACAATCTGGCCCAAATGATACTCAGAGAGCAAGCTGGTAAATTTCCACTCTGGTTTACACAGTCACCTGTGAGCTCTGTAAACACGGAGAGGGGGCTCAAGTGATCACAGATCTTCTGGGGTGCCGACAACAGAGTTTGTGAGTGGAGCATCAACTCGGGGCCGTGGTAACATGGCTTTGGTGAAGCCATTAGGAGGTCTCTGCCTAGCTGTGCCACATACCTCAAGCAACACACTTCTGTCTCAACACCTCTTCAGTCCTTATTATAAATACATAAGAAAGAAGGTAGTAATGTTGAATTTAGTATTGTACAGGGGAAGCAGTGGCATTTCAAGAGCAAACTGCTTAAGGAACAATAAAAGGAATGTATTCAAAGCACGCAACTCCGAGTGATACTTACTGTATTCCTTTCAATTAGAAAGCAGTGGAAACAGAATGAGTAGAACTGTTAGTGAACCTCTTTTTAAACACTAGAACACCAAGCAACGTCTTTATATTGATTTATATGAGGCTCAAACTCATTAAATACCACAGACCAAATAAGAGAAGAAAGTTATTGGGGAAAACATCTTAGGTGTCTTAAAGAAACAGCATGTGACTCTTAACAAGGTGTAAAAGAAACAATGCTGCACTTGGGGCTGGAAAACCTGGATGTGAGCAGTCTGCATGAGCCCAAGCATGCTGCAAAACTCCTGAAATCTCAGTTTCCTAACGTGCACAATGGATACATCACCTTCTTTTGTTAGGAGGATCAAAGAAATCACTTCTTATGGTTACCTCTTGGATAACTCCAAACTCATGACTTTCAAAGCTGAATTCCTATCCTTCGCCCGAAGTTTCACTAAACTAGTCGCACTAAATAAAACCTAATCTCTAAGCAAAATTGAACATGTCATTAGTCCATCTCTTGCATAAGGAGATGTCTTTGCCTAGAACCTCGTTTCCCATTTCTTCGTCTCACTGTGTCATTTTTGTCCTCTGTGGCTTAGCTCAGGGTGCTGAGGAGCCTCTCTCACCATTACTCATCCTCCTTGGTATCAAGTGGATGGCATAGGTATTTCTCTTGTGATCCCACAACACCATCAGTATAATCTCAAACAGAATGAGTCAAAATCATTGCTACTGGTTTATTTGTCTACATTACCTACTCTACAGTTATGGAATTAGATAGTTCACCTACTCATTAGTATGGGTTTAAATGTCTCTACTATTCACTATACTATAAACTCCCTGAAAGGAAGGATTATTTTATCTCTGCTCTTCAAACATTTAGTAGTGTCTTCCATAGACTGTATTAAACAAATAGCACAGTTTTTGCTCTCCAGATGTTAGCTTTATTTAAATAAAGTTGACATTCATATAAGGAGTCTGCCTAAAATGACTGAAAGGTGCCTCAGAAGTGAAAGTACTCAGGTGAGCAAGGCTCACAACATTCAAGAGGGGAGTTCAAAGCATTCAATAGGAGAGAAGTCTGGAAACCCTTAAAGCTCAACTAAGAAATGTAAAGTCTTCCCTACATATCCCAACAGATTAGCACAACCACAAAAAGCACATTAGCGGTCTGGTGGCTTGCTCAACAATACATAGAGTGCTTGCCTAGCATACACATGGTGCTGGGCTCAATCCTCAGCTCCACACACATGCACATATGCACACACACATACAAACCCACAAAAAACTTTTGGCTGTAACTATAAATGTGAAATTTACATACTAAGAAAGCTTTTGAAAATTTGACTGCTCATTTAAAATCCCTAAGATAACTAGATATAGCAATCAAGTGACTATGACATATAATTTAGTAACACATTTACCAGTGGCACCACCACCAATGATAAATCACACACACACACTAAAGGTTAGACTTTCTTTTTTTTCTTTTTTGGTTTTTTTCCTGTACCAGGAATCGAACTCATGACCTTGTGCTTGCCAGGCAGGCACTGTGCCACTGGGCTAAATCCCCAGCCCCCAGGTTAGGCTTTCTTAATTCAAAATATAAAGTTAGTTTTCTTGCCAAAGAGGAAACAGAAAAATCCTTTTTTTGAGTTATAAAAACTTAGTAGCAAACTTTGAATGTGAGTCTATTGGGTTAAATAAAATGACAGACATTAAACTAAATCCAAACTAAATGTAGGACCTTAAAAATGGCTGAAATAGGACAAGAAGGAACTGAATAACAGATTACATCCTAACTTTCTATCTCTGCACTCCGCAAGGCCTAAAATAGGCCAATCAGAAGTGTAAATAACCAAAAAGAATAAAATGAAGATTCCTTTCTTTACCTCCACTGTGCCTGGAGGCATCTGTAAGCACCACTCCAAAGGTGCTGTTTGCAGCCTCTGAAACAACAGGATGCTTAGGGATCCCCACGGCTGGAGAGGACACCTGCGTATTTTTTGACGATGCTGTTTTCTCTACAAGAGGTTAAAAAACAAAAATCAAACACTCAATGCAACTTAAGCTTATACATGTAGTTCTTTAAAAAATACCGTGAACCTTAACTGGTACACAAATAGAGATAGGACTAATCTGCCATCCTGTTTAACTATAATATCTATATATAAATACTCAGCTAATCTTAAGAACTGACCAAAAAAGTACTTTGTCTTTTTCTAGTATCTTTAAAAGAAAACTAAAATGTGTCTTTCTTCATTATACTAACTTTAACACCACGAAAACAAGTGAAAAAGTCAAATGAGAAGGTTTTCAAACTATTAATCCATTTTTCTTTGTACTGTACATATTTAACAAAATAATTATCTAAACAATTCACTATTTAAAAGCTTCTGCTCAGTTTTTTCATAGAAAAAGGCCACAATAATTTTTAATATTTCATACACAAAAAGTAAAATTGGGTTTTTTTAAAAAAGTAAAATATATTATTATTCAGTATGTATAGGTCACTCTATAAAGAATTATAGACTGATGGTGAACACTGACTGAAGATACATTTAAAATAGAAAGTATTCATCATTCACTGACCAGACTTAGTAATTAGATTAAAAAAAATCTTTTTCAAAAGCCAATAGAGAACGTCTCATTCCTCAGACTTTCTGAGACAGAGCCAAATGGAAATCTTCCTCCCACTTTCCACCTCCATCCACTGATGTCCTTTCAGGCCAGGTCATGACAGCATCTTCAATTCAACTTCCCTCAAGGGCTGCCCCATGGGAAAAAGGGCCATTCCTTGAGCTCTCTCTCCCAGCACTGTCTTCAGAAATCACTCACAGTACTTGTCATATTTTGGTGTCTCCACCTGTACCCTTGCCCTCCTCCAGTCCCCTCATACCCCACAGCCAGACTCATCCTGTTCGACCAGAGGGCACATCCTATCATGCTCTGCTCAAATGGTCCAACTCTTCCCAGTTCAGAGAGGAAGAGCCGAAGTCCTTGCAAAGTCCGCAAGGCATTATACAATTTGGTGATCCTGTCATCTACTTGAGCACCTTTCCACTTCAGCCTCCCACTCACTTTGCTCCCATCACTGTGGTGACCTTGGTTCTCCGAGGGGCACAGGAAGTATACCTCACCTGGGGGCCTTGGCACTTGCTGTTCTCTGAGTTAGGAGTGTTCTTTCCCCAGATACCCACATGCCTTCCTACCTCCTTGTTACAACTTATGTCTAGATCACCCAAAGCTTCACGTAGTCATAGGGGTGGCTTTTCAGAGGTAGCTGGATCTAGAGTGTGTGATTACTGTATCAGTCCACTGATTGGATTAGCATAGTTCTGGCTAGGACTAAGGGTGTGAGTGCTACATCTGCCTAGGGTGGGCCTGCATACAATGAGGGACAGAAAGAGTATAATGTGCTCTCATCTGCCTGCTTGCCTTAGACTACTTCTCTGCAATGCCTCCCTGCCATGTCACCCTGCCTTGGACCTAGCTGGTATGGACTAAAACCTCTATAAACTGTGAGCCAAAATAAAACATTTTCTCCTTTAACTTTTGGTGTTGGTTATTTTGTCTCAGCAACAAGAAAAGTAATTAAGACACTACCCATGGTAAGTCTACTGTAAACTGACCACTGTGGAATTCCTGACCACTTGCTCAAACCGTAACAACTCTACCCCACATGTTTCTCATATCCACCCCTGAATTTATTTCTTTTGTTAACACCCCCTTCTAATATAGTAATAAGTTAAATGCAAGCTTCTCCCAACTAAAATGTGATTTCCGTGGGGGAAAGGAGTTTTGTCTATTTTGTGGACTGCTGGGCACATGAAAGCATTCAGTAAATATCAGCTGAACTGAGTCAAATTCTGTTTTGCAGTTGGTATCTAAGTATGGATCTTACCTTCTTTATGGAAGTACAAGCTCCATCAGGATAGTTCTGATCTTGACCATCTCTGTTTTTCTGCATTACCTATTCTAATGCTGTATATCCTAACTCTCAGGAATACCTGTGGAATACTGAATGGAATGGAATACTACAACTACTCAAATGTGGCAAAAGGAAAAAATGTTAAAATAAGCTTGTTTCAATAATTTATAACTAAGAATCTCTACTATCCAAAATCATTTGGCATGAAGACAACCAGCTCCGTTCTCTAATGAAGGTTATACTCACCTTTGCTGGTTCGGAAGGTAAGCATGGCAGGCTGTCCTTCACCTGCGGCACTTCTTGCCACCATCAAAACCTCATAAAGACTGGATGGCTCCAGTTCTGTTAACTGTAGCTCATTTTCACTGCCAGGGACTCGAACTGTGTGCCAGCTCCCCACTGCACCAGCACCATCATCCAGCTGCTCAAGAGAAACCCCAAAACAACAAAAGATGGATGGCAGGAAACCCTTCATCCACATTTGAGAAAAACTAGAATTCACATGATTCTAGAGGACTTCTGGGAATGAGATGGACCACTGCAAGCAAACGAAATATAATACTATTCACATTAAGAAATATAAGGAGCAAGAACTCAGGAGTTATCACCGTCAAAGGATTCCTGGGCCTCCCAAAGTCTGTTTCCTTTACCTACAATAGGGAAATATCCCCTTTCTTACTGGGTTAATGAAGGAATTTTTAAAATAGATAGTACTGGTATTAATAACATGTATATGATAAATTAAGACATACTACATTAAATATGTTTGTACATATATGAACTATATAATTATGGATGAAAGATTTCCAGTATTCTTGCTTCACAGGTTGATACCGTTTAAAAGTATGTTAGAGGAAATATAAAGAGATCTAATAGTTGTTTCCTGGTCAATGAAACCAAGAGACAATATTGCAAAATGATCAGAGGGTAAATGATTATCAACAATTTCCTTTCCTTTATCTAGAATTATCAGGCTATGAACAGTGGATAAATTTCCTAATATCATGACATTGGCTTTTCCAGTCATTGAAAATATTAGACATTACTTAAATAATAGATATCAAAATGTCTTAAACAAAGAAAATGATTTCAAATATGAGTACATCTCCTATTTCATTCATTCAAAAATCTCATTAAATAAAGGAACTTTTTCATTTTGCCATAGTGCAAGCCCACAGAGGAAAAATATTATATGAAGAATCAACAAAGAGAGGTCTAAGGTTTCCTAAAATAAATGACCAAATAATGTAAGACTCTAATACAATTAAGAAAACAGCTCAAAATATATAAACAACTCTCAAAAATTGTGCCAGAGGCTTGGTTCAAACAGTTGTTTCTAGGAAAAACTGCTTTATTTGCTAAATAAATTGCATCCTAAAATCTTAGCAAGGGATGGAATTATAGTTTTAAAGTGGTTTATAGAGCTTGACACCAAAAGTATAAAACAAAAAGCCTGATTAAAAAATATGAAATGGTTACTAGGTCTTTAGAATCCCCACTTAGAGAAAATTATTTGTAATTCATTCTCATTACTTTTGTAAGATTGGTCAGTCCAGCATGACTCGATCTGACAACTCATCATTCTGGAACACCTTTGTTCTGTTTCTGCCCTTCCACAAATGTAAAAGATACTAAGCACATGCATATATCAGGGCTATGGAGTGAAGAGAGAAAGATGATAGGTAGGAAGACATTACCTTTCGATACTTCACAAAATAGGCATTGATGGGCAATCCACCGTCCTTGCCCGCCCTCCACACCAGGTGGTACGTGTCTGCTGTATGGGTCTGCGGAGGGCTCAGGATGATGGGGGCATCAGGGACAGAGGTGCCACTGGCATTTTTTTCTGATGATGATTCCACTGCACCAGGATGTCCCTTCACTGGAAATGAGCTCAACAAGCCAGATTCTGAACTGTCTCTTTGGTCTCTTTCATCACTCTGAATAGCATCAGAAGGTGTGATTGTTTCTGCTTTTGTATTTGTTTCAAAAGGAACTGTAGAAAAACACAGACAAAGACAGAGACAGACAGACAGAGAGACAGAGAAAAAGAGAGGAGATAGTTTGAAAAAAAAACCTCATTATTTCAGTGTCTTCTACCCAGCTGGTAACGTAACTGCCCACGCTAGTATTAGTAGCACATTTTGATCCCTTAAAGTTAAAACATGGCAACATCGAAAATATAGTCTGTTGTTCATGGTACAGTAAATGAATTGTTTGAAAAACAGTTTTATGATGTGATGGTTGAGTGGCTTAAAGGTTTTTATTTTTCCTTTGCTTTATCATAGCAGTCCCTCTTTACTAACAATTTGCTGGACCAATCTTAAAAGATCTAAGGTAAATAAAACATAGGTGGTAAATAAAACACAATGGGCAATGCATTTCCCTGGGAACAAGGTCATAGAGATAGTAAGAAAATGGGCGAGAATTAGAAACTTGCACTTTGGGAGGCTGAAGCAGGAGAACTGGTCATAAGTTGGAGTTCTACCTGGGCAACTTAACAAGACCCTGTCTCAAAAGGGCTGTGGATGTAGCTCAGTGCAAAGGACCTAGGTTCAATTCCCAGCAACTTCCCCACCACAAAAAGAATTAGGATCTTACACACTGGGTAATTACTCTCAAAGATGCTTCCCAGAATTCACTCGTCTCACATAGTCTTCTCTTGCATGGAGTTCAGGGCATCAGCTTGAAGAAAACCTGGCACCTCTACTTTTATGTGTATTCTAGAGACCTAGCTACCACATGGATGTATGCCCCCGCCAGTCATGTGATACTAGGATATGGAGATAGACACTGAGGAGTCCACCCTACAAAAGAGCCACGTTTGCCAAAGCTGTGTCAGCTGTTCTGGTTCCAGGGGCCCTCTGATTATGAGATGCGATTGAAAAAAAAAATTTTTTTTTAAATGTATTACAGTAAAAGGCTCACTGCCGGTAATCTTGTAATCTCCCTCAAAATAATTTCCCTCACTTCAAACACACTTATTCTTGCCACTTCCTGAAGCAATTCCGGAAGTCCTCTTTTGTGTGTTTAGTTACACTGTCGTGGCTGCCTCAGTGTCCTGAATCAATTCAAAACCTTCACTTTCCAGGAGGACTGTTGCAAGTTCGAAGCCAGCCTAGGGTACATAATGAGTTCAAGGCCAGCCTGGACTACAGAGCAAGATCCTGTCTTAAAAAAATAACCAAAACCCAAAACCTTCACCTTGATGATCAGTTTAACTCTGGGGAGAAGCCAGACATCACACGGTGCCAGATCTGGTGGATAAGGTGGAAGAGGACACACCAGAATGTTCTTACAAGCCTGCCTTTCTGTGGCTAGCACACAGCAGCAACATTCACCATATTTTTGATCATCCCTTATAAAGACACTCATACAACTGCATTACAGAGAAGAAGAACTGCTAACTGCATCTACTCAACCCCACATTCACAGGAGATAATAAAGGGACGTGACTTGAAGTCACTGAACTTTTGGGTAGTCAGTTATGCTGCAACAGGGACCCCACCCCACAGACACCCACCTACCAACCGGCTCTCAAGGAAGAGGGAGAAATGCAGCTAGCAAGACCAGCAAAGGTAAGGTTTACACCTCACAGGACTTATTTCTAAGCCCTATTTCTGTATAGAATTGAAGGTTAGGTTAGTTAAGAAATTATCAATCTAAAGATAAATAAAACAAGCAGACAGCCTTAATACTTATGAAAAATGGTACATAGACTATACAGAGGAAGATAAAAACAATTTATGTGCCCTGATAAAATAAACAGGTTTATATATCTGATAAAAATTACTAAGCATGTGCACACCTATAATCCCTAGCACTCAGGAGACTGAGGCAGGAAAATCGTTGCAAGTTCGAGACCAGCCTGGGCTACAAAGTGAGCTCAAGGCCAGCCTGAAATGCACAGTGAGACTCTGTCTCAAAAAAGACCAAAAAAAAAAAAAAAAATTACTAAGCACATTTCATAGGCCAAGCATTATGCATGACATTTAATAACCATAAGCTCATTTAATTCCCAAAACAGCACTCTTAGGTAGAGAGTAATACTTCCTCCCACTTTATAGAAGAAGAAATAGGGTTCTGAGAGACTGACAACAGCTGTCAGACCAATGTCAGTGGCGCCGCTGTGGAAAAAGAGAAAGGAATTTATGAAAAATCCCATGCCAGTATCATAAAACTAAAGGATTGACAGCTTGGTTTCTCTAAAGTGCTAGGAATACTGGTCACAAAAAGATCAATTATTTATTTCTTTGTGGAAGAAGAGAACAGAAGAAACAATGTTACAGTTATAAGAAAGTCCAGATTCCTGGTAAAAAGTGGGTGTGTTTTTAGAACTACTGCCCTTTAGCAGTCAACCAACAAAAACCAGACTAACAGCTTAAGGTCAGTTCCCTGGGAGGTTAAAAGAGAGAAAAGGTGGCCCAAAAGCATCCTCCATCAAAGAAAACAAGAAGCTAGCGAGAAAATAATACAGAAGAAAACCAATTAAGTTCACTGAGACAATTTGAAAATATTGCTCCTGGAACAGCTGTGTTTACCTAGTGAGTCAGAGGTTGAGTGGATGTTCAGGGTTGATCTGGTGCCTGCCTGCTAATGCAGAGAAACAGTCTCTTGAAACTGGAGGTAATTAGCTGTGGCTTGGGGTAGCAGGGAAAACCACTGTATCATTAGCAGTTTCATGGGTCCCCTGGGCAGCTGACCGCTGCGGAAGTGGCATTTGGCTGCAGAAGAGTTTCCATACCAAATGCCTCAGTTTACACAGAGGCACAAAAAAAAATGTTACACCACCACTGTAAGAGAATCAAAATCCTATTTCTGTTATTCAGGTACAACATAGCCCTTCACAACTTTTATCCAAAAGGGGGCCAATTAACTTCTACCATTCTCAGTAATATAATTTGGGCACTCACAAGACACTAGATACAATCTTAAAGACTTTAAAAATACAGATGTCCCTTGATTTATAGTGAGATTATATCCCGATAAATTTATTGTAAATTAAAAATATAATTAAGTTGAAAGTGCGCTTAATTCTCCTAACCTACTGGACAGCAGAGTACGTATTGTGCATTATTGCAATGGAGTAGCTGGCTGGGAGCTGCAGTGTCACAAGAGTATCATACCTCTTATTGCTAGCCCAGAAAAGGAAAATATTAAAGGCATGGCTTCATTGAATGTGTCATTTCCACATCATTGAAAGGTAAAAACCAAACAAACAAAAAACTGTAACTGGAATCATCTTAAATTGGGGAGCATCTCTACTTTCAAAAGTGTTTTCACATGTATTCTTAACTTACATGAGAAACAACTCTGTGAAATAGGTAGAATAGATATCCAGCATTTTTAAGGTGGATTGTTTTTGAATTAGAAGAGATCAATAAAACTATAGCAATGTAAATGAACTGACTGATCTGTGTTGAAACTAATTAAATATGGAGTATTGTACAACCACATCTGTCCAAGATGTTTCCATCATGAGGACTCACACCAGCAACACCCACCCTACACTATTTAGAAACTGGGCCAACTCTCATAATAGTTTTGAACAGTTACAATTCAATCCACAAATACTTGTACATCCAGAACTTTAAAAACCTAGGTCTCTGGTGAGAAAAAAAGAAGGGAGACCTTTATCTCGGATTTTTTTTCCTCTTGCCTTCACAGCAAACAAAGAAAATTGCTATCAGTATGTTGGAATTTAATACAGCTCAGATTCCTATGCAAAGAAGTAGGTTATGTACATGTTGTGTACCCAGCGGCCCGTCCTCTGACTTAAGGGTGCCCACACACTGGCAGCACGGTTCACACTTGGCGGACTGACTTGCACAAAGACCTGAGTGGAACCAGATCATGACACAATTAAAGCAGGGAATTCTAAAGGCCCAGCCCTGTTATCCAGAAGGAAGAATAGGGATTACAGGGTCAGAATAAGCACTGACCTGACCCCCATGGGCTCTCTGACCTGTGGGCAGGACAATCCAGGTGGAAAGGGGCCACAAAGAGCGCTCTTTAAACCAAAGGTTTGTCAGGGAGTTCAAGATGCCCAACACTAAAGACAGTACTGGATATTCTGCCTCTCACAAGGCAAATATAGCAACAATCTCTACCCAGGTGAGTACTTGCTGGGGAACACTACTCTAAATGCCCACTGATGGAAGGTTTGAATTTTAATTAAGTCAACTTTAAGTTAATTTTAAATAATACTGATGGATATTCTACATGGAAGTACTTCAAAAATCATATAGTTTTAGGTCATCATCATGAAAAATCAGTGGAATATAAACAAGTAATAGTATACATCTCATTAGAAAAGTAACTTTGGGTAAGATAGAAGAAACACATACAGCAAGTCCCTGACTTAGAAACAAGTTCTGTTATGGGTGAATGTTCTTAAGCAGGATTCATCTGTAATCCAGCAAAGTAAGTCATATAGTATACCTGTGAATCTTACACAGTACACCTATGAAAGCTCACAACTTGAATGTTCATAAATCGGGCACTTCCTATACATATAGGTATTATTTGATAAGACCACAAGTTTACATTCTCAATGAACCCTTTAGACTTAGAACACTGTATTTATCAATGGTTAATCTAAAAAATGCCCCCCAAAAAATTTTAAGTAGCTGTCTTGGTTACTTTTCTCATTTCTAAGACAAAATACCCAACATCCAAAATTAAGGGAAGAAAGGTTTATTTAGGTCACAGTCGGCAGCCCCAAGGCAAGGTGGTGTGGCAAAGGGGCAGGTGTTGATGGCAGAGGATAGCAAAAGCACAAGCGAGGAGTCGGGGGCAAACCTCTTTCTGTCCCGTATAATGCATGCAGGTTACCTTCCCCAGAGCAGGTGTAGCACTCACACCCTTAATCCCAGCATTAGATCACGAATCAATTACCAACTCTAGATTCAACCACCTCCAAAAAGCCTGCCCCCCTTGACCGCCTGAGGCTGTGGGGAAACATCCAGACACAAACCATTACAGTAGCTTAGAAAGCCACAAGTGTTACTCCCAAAGACTGGTTGGGTATATTCTGAGCTTACTCCTAAAGAAGAGCTTTCCATTTGATAAGTACAAGTTTAACATACTTGTACACATCACAAATGGAGACCAAGTTTCATCTGATTCACATATAGCAAAATATCCCAAAATTTAGTTTTATATTTCACTGTCATAAGGCAAAATACATTATTTAGAGAATACTCCACTCTTTAAAATAACACATTTCAAACCATCTTTTCCTCTACTACCAAAAGACATTACTCACTTGAAACGAAATACAAAGGCAACTCACCAACTGTGAGAAATGCTTCTGACTGCGTGGTGCCATGATCGTTTGTTGCTTCACAGATGTATCTTCCGGCATGTTCCCGAGTGACAGCTGGGATGGAAAGGGAGCTGGAGCCAGCTCGGGACATGATGAAGTAGACAGGCTCCAGGTCAAGGCCCCCAGGTCTTACTAAGTGTGACTTTCGGGATTTGGATCTAAGGACTTGAGATGGATGACTGGTTATCAACCCGCGGCTGCCATACCAGCGAATGACTGGGACTGGCACTCCAGTGGCATTGCAGGACAGCGTAACAAAGTCTCCATCTGCCACCCTGGCACTTGCTGGAGTTGTGATTATAACTGGCTTGAATCCATTACCTATTAAAAAATAATTCACATACCAAAATTTAGGAATGTAATAGAATCTGCAGCAAAATAATTTCATCTGATTGCAGAAATAGGATATGAGAGAAATGATTAGAATAAAGATACCTCTTTCCTTAGTTATCTTCTCAATTTTCACCAAGTAAAACTGTCAATAAAGTAGAACTGTTCATAGCTGTAGGCGCCTATATATTCCCTACACAGAGCTTTAGGAAGAAAAGAAATCTCTCAAGAGCCTTCCACTAGACAGATCTACTTAACTACTGAAAATATAGAATGGGTTTCAGGCCTTAACATAAAAAAGGTACAAAGAAGTATAAAATTAGATCAATAACCCTTCAATTCTTTTGGATTCTGATTATAAAAGGTCTGGGAAGAAAAAAAATCCCATTTTAAATAAAAGTTGATAAACTTTTTTCTTACTACTGACATGAACATTTTTGTTTCTAAATTAAAGTCTCACTAAGTCTTTCTTTTTGGTCCTGGTATTCTCTGGAGGTATTTTTAATTGAGCCTGCAAAGAGATACTGATTCACACAAATGATAATTTCTCCATCATGTCTCTGTTTTTCTCAAAACCTACTTCTCACATCTGATAAAACCAACCAACATCTGACCTTCTCAGATTTCTGAGTTTTTTTTGAGGAAAAAATGCCATCTCAATAGTTACAATCTGCATTTCTAAAACTACTAATGAAGATGAACATCTTTTCATGTTTTTATATGCCACACATATTTTCTCTGTGAAATGTTTTGTCAATTTTTCTATAAGGACTTCTTTTTGTAAAATGACTCAGAGTTCTTTATACATCCTAGATAACTATTATTTTGCTTAGTTACGTATGTCCCTAGTGTCTTCTGGTTTATTGGTTTTCTTTTCCTTTCTTAATAGTACCTTTTAACAGTGAGGATGCTTTCATTTCAATATAGTCGTATCTTCTTAATCAACCTTCCAAAATATCTTGCTAAAGCACAATTTGTAATTGCTAAATTGTGGAAGCAACCCAAATGTCCATCCACCGAGGATTGGATAAGAAAATTGTGGTACTTTTATATAATGAAATATTACTCAGCTATAAAGAAAAATAAACTCAAAGTTTTTATAGGTAAATGATCACAACTAGAGACCATACTCATAAGTGAAATAAATCAGACCTGCATGTGCAAGCACCGCGTTGTCTCACTAGTGTAAAATCTGAAAGAGTGAATAAAAACTTGGGAGGTATGATAGACATTGTGAAAGGAAAGGAAAACACTCAAGGGTAAAGGGCAACTGGGATGTGGGAAAAGAGAAGGAAAAGAAGGAGAAATTTTGTATGTATGTTAACAGGATAGTTAACATAGTTGACCTACTGTCTTCTATTTCTTTGCTGAAAGAAACAGTTAATGAGTCCTTGATTGATCAATACTGCATGTCTCTATTTGTTTTCATGAGAAACCACTTTGAAGATATCAATATGTAATACAACAAGCATTGTTAATTTCCTACCACTTTGTTTATAACTCTGTGTTGTTTATATTGTTCTTTTGCTATTTTGTAAATGGTTGTCTGTCTGTTAATGTTTTCCTTTTATTTTTAAAACAAAAAAAAAAACAAAACATCTTGCTAAAAGGTTTTAGCCATATAGCTATTCTCCAATATAGTCCTAAAATATTTTCCCTTTTATTTTTCATATTTAAGTCTTTAATACAGTGAGAATTTATCTTTCTATACCATGTGAATAACAGATTTAATTTTACTTTTATTTACATCAAAATTTGCAGCTGTCTTCTCTCTAGTGATCTACAATGCCAGTTGAGTCAATTTTTTATGTGCAAATATCTTTTTGGCACAGTCTATTCCTGAACTAATATAATGTTTTCTAAATTATTACTGATTTTTTTATATTTAAGGCAAGTTTCTTCTTTTAGAGTATCTTAGTTATTATTGGGCCTCTGATTATCTATATAAATTTTAGGATCATTTTCTCAAGGTTCTTAAAATATTCAGATGAGATTTTAACTACAATAGCATGAATTTACAGAAAATTTTTCAAAAGAACAGGTAACTATAACATTGAATTTTGCTACCTATGAGCAGGTATGTGTATCTTACATAACCGAGTCTGCTTCAACATTGCTAATATAAAAAAGTTATTTTAAATATTTTATTGTTATACAGAAAGGCAAATGATTCTTGTTTATGGTCTTCATCCAGCCACCTTACTAAACATTATTAGTTCTAAGGAAATATGAAACAGCCAGGAAACTGTTTGGATATTCCATGATGACAAAGCTGTAAATTAGTAACAATTTGGATTCTTTCTTATTTTTTTTTCATGTTTTCTGTTCTAGTTCAGAACTCCATTATAATGATGACTAGCCATTAAAAGTAATGTTTCATGTGAGTTCTTATCAGATATCATTTACCAAGTTAAGGAAGTTCCTTCTATTTTCATTTTTCTGAGTGTCTAATGTGAATAGTGAATTATATCCAATTTTTCCTACCTCTACTGAGATAATCATATTGTTTTTCTCCTTTATTTAATAAGTAGCATAAAAAATACTTTAACTTTTCTGAGGGATTTCCAGGATAACTGTTCAATCAAATATCTTCTTTTTTACACATTCCTGGCTAATCAGTATTTTGTTTAGGATTTATACACCTATTTTCATAAAAATGACTGGTTTTTTACTTTCCTTTCTTACAGCAGCCTTTTGTGACTTTGAAATCAAGATTCTACCAACTACAAACTTTTCATCTTTTTCTATCTTTTCCTTTTCTCTGGAACAGTTGTATAATGTTTAGAATGATCTGTTACTTGCAAGTTTGGTGGAACCTCCACAGAAATACGTGGACTTGGATTTTCTTTGTAGGAAGATTTTTAATTCCTAATTCAATTCCTTTCATAGGTGTAGAGAACTAATAGACTTTTTATTTAAGTCAGCCTTACTAAGTTACATTTTTCCTCAGAATTTGTGCATGCTACAGTTTAGTTCCTTTTGTTTGTTTGCTTTGTTTTTTAAGGTACAGTCTTGCCAGGCGTGGTGGCGCATGCCTGTAATCCCAGCACTCGGGAGGCTGAGGCAGGAGGATCGTTGCGAGTTTGAGACCAGCCTGGACTACAAAGTGAGCTCAAGGCCAGCCTGAACTGCATGGCGAGACCCTGTCTCAAAAAAGCCAAAAAAAAGGCACAGTCTTGTTATGTAGTTCAGGATAGCCTTGAACTCACTATGTATGCCAGAATGGCCTCGAACTTGCAGTGATCCTCCTGCCTCAGCCTCCCAAGTGTTTATAGTTTGGTTCTTAAATATCCCCAAATGCCCATGTGGTGGAGGCTCATGTGTCTGTAGTACTACTGGAGGTGGTACAACCCTCAGGCGTGGAGCCTATGGAGGAAAGTTAAGGCATCACAACTGTAGCCTTGGGAATACTGGGGCCCTGCCCCTTCCTGTCTTTTTCTGTTTCCCTTTGAGTGAAAGGGCCTACTCTGCCATGGTTCCTACTGTAAGATACTGTGCTGCCACAGGACCAAAGCAACATGCCAAGGGGCCACAGACTGAAACTCCTAGAACATGAGCCAAGTAAACTTTCCCTTCTTCAAATTAACTGCCTCAGGCATTTCGTCACAGTGACTAGGAAGGTGACTAACACAGTCCACTCTTGTTTATACATGTAAATTATTTTTACAAAGTTTATCACAGTCATTATTTTTAATCTCTGCAAAACTTATACTTATAGCCTCCCTTTTATTTCTATTATTGCTTATATGTATCTAGTTACTTTATACTTAACTTAGCCAAAGACTTGCCCACGTCATTACACTTTACAAAGAAACAACTTCTACATTTATTGATCCTATTTCATCTTTGTTCTCTATTTAATTGATTTCTGCCCTTATCTAGTTTCTTATATTTTTTAAAAAATATTCTCTTGTTCCTTCACTCACTGATTTTCATTGTTTTCTTTTATAAGCAAATAAGGCTACAAATTTCCTCCTAAATCCCATTTTGGCTATCTACTACAAAATCTGACCTGTGGCATTTTCATTATCGTTCACTTTAAACTATTTTCAATCTATACTATGATTTCTTTTTTAAACCAGCCATTTGGAGTTATAATTTCATATTTCCAAGCACAGGGCAAGTTTTTAAATTATCTTTTTATTATTAAGTTCTAAATTAGTCACAGTAAGATAAAAAATATGATCTGTAATGATTCTCTGAAATTTGAAATTTTTATACTTGCTACCATAAACAATTAATTTCCCTAACATATAAAGAATTCTGATAGATAATTAAGAAAAAAGGCCAAAAACATAGCTTTAAAATGGACAAAAGACAATGAAACATGAAAACACAGGAGTATAAATTTAAATGGTTCCTTAACATGAAACGATACATAACTTTACTCATAACAACAACAAAAAAAAAACAATATGGACTACAAGGGCCTTTTTTCTTTTTTTTACTTTAGATTAGCAAATGTAAAACAAAAACTTTTGACAATATTCTGAATTGTTGAGGGTATGAGGAAAGAAGCAAATTTATACATTGCCTACAAGAATAAAACCTGTAGCAATTAGGAGAGCTATCAGTAATATCTATCAAAACATCAAAGTCATTTATTTTGATATAGGTTTTATTCTGCAAGCTCATCTCTAGGAATCTTTTACTGATATGCACACATGTACAAAACAATCTTTATGGGACATTCATTAAAAAGTATTTATAATAGATCCTTCGGTTCACGAGTGTGATGATTGGGTGTTCATGCCATCTGCATGAGATGTGCCTCCCTCAAACCTCATTACAATGTTGGCACATTACCCATCTGACGTGAAAAAAAAAAAAAGAAGTATTTGTAATAGCAAAATATTGGAAACAGTCATCAATGAGGTACTAATCAAATTGTTACAACTACACAATGGAACGCTAAACAGCCATTCCTTCAAAAGGAATAAAATACTCTTTTCGCACCAAGTAGGAAGATATTCAAGATACATATTAGTAAAAATTTCAAGGTAAAGAATGCTATCACCATTTATGTAAAAAATAAAAAGATACTGTTATAAAATACATACACACAAAATGCCTGTATGTGCCATATAGTATATAACTGCAGGTATGCCTATGTGCTAGGATATTCAAGAAGCTGAAAATCAATAATTTCTAAAGAGGGATATGATTGGACAAGAAACTTTACCATAAAATTATATAGTACCTGTTGAAAACAGTTTTAAATTATATTTTATTTTACCTTTCAATTTTTAAAATTTTCTTCTGATTTTTTTCCCTAATCCTGGGAATGGAGCTCCAGAACCTTGGGCCTCAGGCATACTAAGTAAGCACTTTACCAATGAAGTATACCACCAGCCTAAGAGCAATTTTTAATGAGCCTGATTAAATGAGATGGTTTCTTCACAGAAATGCCTATCTGCCACTAGTAAAGAACATGGTAAATGAATATAATTCTGGCATAGTGATAGGATTTGGTAGTAAAAATGACTCTTTTTAGCTACTACAAAAGTTTACTTGTGAAATAAAATCTCCTATGATTACATGACCTACAGGCTTACTTTGTTCAACTTGAAGTCTTCCAGTGGACTGCATAAATCCAATCCCATTATCTGCTACACACTGGTACAGTCCAGAATCTTCCATGGTAACCCCGGTGATTTTCAGTTCATTTCCTGCAGTTAGATGTCGTGGGGAAGGATGGATAGGCTGTGCGTTATGAAACCAGGTACAGGTGGGGACTGGGTTCCCACGAATACCACAGGTAAAATGTACTGTGGCACCTAGAGACACTCTTTGGTCCTGTGGTCCTTTAGAAATTGAAGCACGTTCTGAAAGTAAAACACACAAAGTAAATTCTAGCCCTCAAGGTATATGTTTTAAATTGTCACACAAGTTATATAAAATCTTTGTACCAATAACAAGTTGAAAACAAGTTGTATTCTTTATTGACATTCTTCCATCTGCTGTGATCATCAAGAAATAAGAAATATATTTTAACTTCCCACTAGTAGGATAAACCATATGTTACTAATAAGTTATAGTCTCCTTTTTTAGATCCATTCACCCACTTCTCTCCCCTAACACACATGAATATGCACATAACACAAACAATTTGTAATCCCGGGCTTCTCTTAGCATTTACTTCAGGTGATTAATTTAAAATAAAGTAACAGTCTCTCTAGATTTCATGCTAAATAGGAGCCAAAGAAGAAAAACCTTTTTCATTTTAAATTCTTTTTATGGTCCATTCATCTTTGAAATTAGGTATATATTATGAGGAAAGTAAAAGAAAAAACAGGCTTTGCATATGCTAAGCAAGTGCTCTCCACTGAGCTATACCCTCTGCCTCTCTCAATGAATTTTAAAGTTTTCTTGCCATCTCCTTGTTGCTAGCCTACATCAGGTAATGATATAAGTAAACAACATAAAGAGAATTTACAAGAATTATATTTACTATGAAACTACTTCTTATTCAGTATTTTCCACCTTTTGGGAAAATCTGCTTTGATAAAGGCCGACATTTTCTGCTGGTACCTGATAGTGAGGTAGGTAGCTGACAGAAAAAAAAAATAGTTCTGAGATAAGAAGTACATATTTTAAAAAAGACATACATACAAAAATGAGAAAAGAAATGGAAACAAAGCTTCTGTAAATGGGGAGGATAGGAGGAGTTAAAAAATGAGGGTAGGAGGAAAAAAAATAAGTTATATCATGTACAGGTACAAATTCTCTATGGTGATTGTGATCATTATGTATATCTAAAATGTACCAATACGGGGCTGGAGATTTAGCTCAGCGGCAAAAGTGCCTGCCTGGCAAGCGCAAGGTCGTGAGTTCGGTTCCCGGTACCGGAGAAAAACCAAAAAATAAATAAATAAATAAAATAAAATGTACCAATACAATATGCTTAAAAAAAAGAAGTACAGGGGCTGGGGATTTAGCTCAGCGGCAAAGCGCCTGCCTGGCAAGCACAACGTCGTGAGTTCAGTTCCTGGTACCGGAGAAAAACCAAAAAAAACAAACAAACAAAAAAAAGAAGTACATGTAAAAAATGTAGGTAAAAATAATGCAAGTTTTATGAGCCAACCTAGGTAGAAAGCATGCTAAAAGGGGAAAAATTTTTTACATTAAACACACTATGAGTCCTTTCTGAGACAACATTTTCTAGCTGGTATGCTGGCTCAGATACTATTATAGGACACCATGCAGATCCATCTCAGAATCTTCTGTTGAAATGTGAGTCATGAAGGTGGGAGCACAAGTAATCAGGTTAGGGGTAAGGTTCCCAAGAACACTCCCTGTGCACTGTTCTGTGCCAGCCGGAAACACAGCCCAATTCTACGGTCCTTGAGAAAAATGACTATTCTGGCTACTGGTGTGGATATTTCTAGATAATTCATGTTTCATTCTGAGCCCACAAATATCCTTCCAACCAGGAAAATGGCCAGATTTGAAAACACAAAAAACAAAACAAAACAAAACAAAAAACACTGAAGAAGTAACATCTTACCAAGTACATTGACCATGTAAGTGACATGCTTTATGTCTCCAGACCTGTTGCCCACCACACAGGAATAGTTTCCAGAGTCTGCTGGGTCAATGCTTGCTGTGGCAAGATGGGAATACAGACGCCTCCAGTTGCTCCCCAGCACAGCGTCTTGGCCCTCCCGCAGCCAGTGTACTTGAGAGGCCGGGACCCCTGTCACCACGCACTCCAAAGTTACAGGGCTGTGAGAAAGCACTGCTAATGCCTGGGAAAGGGTGGGGTGAAGAATGTGAAAACCATCCAACGAAGGGCCTGGAAAAGGAAGAGAACACAAAATATTATCACTACGGATTCAAGGCCAATCTCTTCCTCAGCAACACTCGGAACTTCCCCACGTTCCCGCTTACTTTTCTGTATCAACAAGGTCCCACTGGGTAGTAAAATCATATTCAGTGGAAGTTTAAAATTAAGTCTTTGTGGTGCTTTAGAGCTACTTCTGAATTAGCACTTTGGAAATGTAAAATCCTCAAGTCCAGAAACCACTCCTTTATAGTACTCTATTTATGTGATCTCAACTAAGAGCCACAATCTAAAATCACCCTTGATTTTTATCATATCTGCAAGAATGAGAACAGATATATCTTTTTTTTCCATCATTCACATTTAGCCACCAATGTGATTACCATCGCTATAAGGTTTTTATATTTTAAAAATATATATGATAGTATTCTATAATTCACTGATGCATTTACTTTGTTAAGACTTTCCAAAGATAAAACAAACAAGACCTGAAAAAAGAAATGTTCAGTATTGTTTTTTTGGTTTTTTTTTTTTTTTTCCCAGTACCGGGAATAGAACTCACGACATTGCGCTTGCCAGGCAGGCGCTGTGCCCCTGAGCTAAATCCCCAGCCCCTCTGAAAAAAGAAATGAAAAGAAAGAATGAATTCTCCTGTGCCAACTTTTTATGAGCAACACTTTTGAGAACGAGTTACCGTCGCTCTCTCAAATACTTACGACTCACAAGGAGCTTCTGGCCGATAGGTTCAACTTTTAATTCATTGGTGACAGGATTATAAGCTGCACACTTGTATGATCCTTTGTCTTCTGAGGATACATTCAAAATCTGAAGGTTTCCTGACGGGAGGATTACATACTTCCCTGAGGAAGGAAAGGAATCCAGTTAGGCCTTGCCCTTTCTGAAGACCGTCATGATTAACTAAAACAAGCAAAGGTTAACAGTTGTGCTTTAGACAGACACAGAAGACCAGCAGCAAATAAGCAATTAAGGAAAATGCATTAAATCAAAGAAAGGGAAAGCGAGGCAGAAAAGAAAAAAAAAAAAAAAAAAAACGGTCAACAGTACTGGCGGAACAAAATCAAACCTATCACAAACACTTTAGCACACGGTGAGTTCAAAAGCATAAGAAATGTTTGGACAAAGATACAATGACCACAGCTACCACCTTGACTGGCCTACCTATAGTACCAGTCACTTGGTAAGCATTCATCGTCTATTTATTCTTTCCAGTATACACTGGTTAGCTATTTTCTGCCAGGCCTGGTCCAGGCACCGGTGATACAGCAATGAAGGAAGCAGATCAGATGAGATAAATTCTATAAAGAATAATAAAGCTGAACTAGAGCAACAAGGAATATCTTAGAGAGGCCCATACAGGCAGCCTGCCTTTCCTATACAGTGAGATCTGAGTGGGGACCAGAATGAATCGAGGGAGCAAGCCCTTGGGGTATGGGACTGTGGTCACTCCCATAAGGTAGCCACGTGTCTCAGTCTCCTCCACTTGACTTCTGAGATTACAGGCAATGTATCTGATGGTTTTTTGTATGCACAGTCCCTGGTACACACAGAGCTTGCTAGTGGGTTATGTAATAAGCTTTTGCTCTGTGTGTGCTACTGGCTTTTCATGAAAAGACTCACCTGTGGAATGTTTCAGCCATCTTCCACGGATCTTATAGCGCACCTCAGCTTTGGGGTTACTGGCTGGTACCTGGCAGCCAATGAAACCAGTGCTCTTTTCTTCTGCTGTAATAACATGCTTTGCTGATGAATCAAAATCTTCAAGAACTGAAATACATAAACAGATAAATAAATGAATGCAAAACTGAATCCTTCTCAGGGGAAATTCAAAAATTGGAAACATTTGCAGCATGGTCTAGTATGGCAGCTAATCCCAGTCCTGAGGGGAGCATGATCTTTGTATCTGAGAAAGCAGTGAGGTAGTACCTCTAGGGCTGCCAGTTAAGTTATGTTATTCTTTTTTCAGATGTCACTGCTTTCAGAGGACTGTAAGAAAAACAAACTTCTTCTAAAACACTCTAAAGCATAATTATTCTAATTCTGTCACAATAAATCCTTTTCAATCCAGGCCCTCATTAAAAGCCACTTTCCCCATTGGTGACTACTCAAATTGTAATAAAATGGCTTCTGGGAATGAACCTAGGACATCAAAAGCCAAAGCAGTATATCGTTCAAATGTTTTGAATGTACTAACTCGGTCTCTATTCCTTTCAGTTTAAATTCACTGCAGATGAGCCTGCACGCAGGGTTCTTTATTATCTTGCAATGCCCAAGGAATTTAGCAGCCTGCCACTAGGAATCCAGCACTCCAGTGTGTGTCTTGGAGCTGTCTATGGGTCACAGCTCTACAAAAACATTTACTCTTCTCAGTTATGACAAACTCACTACTCCTGGGGAATCCAGATTTATTCTGTAAGTAGGGGTGCCCTCACAAAAATGTTTTCCATTACTGGAAGCCATCACCATTTGAAAGGCAGATGGCTCAAACTTACTAAGAAAAACCACACATTCCAGATTTTCCTTAAGTTCAATACTCAAAATTCCTTTCTTTAAAGTCAGTTATTTTTTTCCTGCTTCTTTAATCTGGTTTCAATTAAATAAATAATTACTCAGTAATCAAGGCAAATGAAACAATGAGATGTGAAAGAAAGATAAAGCACTGCATGGAATAACCAAGTGTCAAAACAGACAACAGCTTTTCTGTTGTTAATGACATTAAGGACGTTTAAAGACTCACAAAGAAACTGTTTAGAACTCATATTAGAAAACTGTCATCACCGTGAAACTTAAAAAAAAAAATCATTTCCATACCATTGTTATAGATGAAGATGTTAGGGTGGGGCACAAAAGTTCAGGTATATTTCCTCAAGTTACACACACGATCAAGTCAAGGCTAGGCAAGAATTGTTAAGACTCCTACCAATACACATCTCACACCAAAGTCCATGCTCTTCCCACAGTTTAGAAATGAAAATACTAACAGTCATTTCAAGAAAACCCACAGGTAACATGGCCCAAAGGAAACTTACCTGCAATGGATACTGTTGCAGGGCTGCTCACAATTGCGCCTATGCTATTGTTGGCAATGCACTGGTAGTCACCCGAAAGGGAGGGGTTAAGAGAAAGAATCGTCAAAGTCCCCTGATGAAGCTTAATCTGTTCCATGTTTTTATCCAATCTTTTTCCATTATGCAACCAGGAGATGTGAGCAGTCACGGGTTTAGCAGAACAATGTAGTATTACAGGTCCACCAAGCTTCTGCACAGTAGAAAGTGGCTCAGAAATAAAATAAGGTGCCAAGTCTACAAAGGAACATACCACATACGTAAAAGGGTGAAGAGGGGGCAGGAGGGGAAAGGAAGGGGAGAGAGAGATAAATAGTACATAAATGCACTTCAGCGGAATATAACTAAAGCACCTCTTTATTTATACATATGGCAGCTCTTGATACCTGTAAAACTTCTCACAAAATTTTTATGAGCTCATCTTTTGGAAGAAAACAGCAACATGTTAGCCTAGGAGTTATGTTAAAATTAAGATAGAACAGACAGGAATGCTTATAATATAAATAGATATATATAACACTAATTTTATTAATGGAAAACAGCAAACTGCCTTTTAACAAAGTTGTTTGTAAGAAACGCAAGTTAAACGCCTGAAAAAGTGAAGACAAGATGCCTTTCAAAATAAAAAGAACTCTCTCCTATTTTAACAATAGGATCTTATACTATAAATAAAGGTGACAGTACTTCCTCACTACTTTATTATTTTAATGTAAAATATTTTAATATAAATAAGATATTTTAATATAAAATATTCAAATCTTAAGAAAATAGAAAGAAGCCACACTGAAGTACAAATTCTATCCTTTCCTGGGTATAAAGGCTTCATGTTTATACTTAGTATTTGAAATAGTTTCATTTGTTACATCTATTCCTTCAGGAACTTGGGCAGGAAAGAGTGATTCTTGCACCAGAAGAGTAATACAAATCCCCTCTTTCTGCTTCCCAAAGTGAGAAGGGAGCAGCACTGCTGTTGGTCTGCTGGGATAAATACTTAAAAGAAAAATATAATAAACTGTTCTATCTCCTTTTGCAGAATATTTACTGAGAAATAAAGATTAAGGGCTAAAGATATAGCTCAGCAGCACAAGCACTTGCCTGGCAAGCATGAGGTCCTGAATTCAGCTCCCAATACCAGAAAAAAAAAAAAAAAAGGCATCAGAAATAAAGATTAAAGAAAGTGTCTTTCTTGGTTAAACCTACAGTAGTGGTTTAGAAAACCATAAAAGAAATAAAGCCAATGAATCAGTTTTCCTTTACCAAGTCTAATATTGTTATACACAATTTTTAACAAATAAATACTACTCAATGAGTAAACATCATATTTGTACATACAGCTTTACTTAAGTCCAAAAAAACAATAAACATCACAATATTTGTATATACATTTTTACATAAGTCTAAAATAAAAAACAATACATGTGGGCCATGTATTTAGTCTGAGGCTTGTATATTCTTAATAATAAACAGATTCAAACTTTGCAGTAACCCAATGAAGTAATGAAGTAAACCAGTTGAGGTCATAAGAGAAAGTACCAGACTTGGCATTTGAACCAAGCTCTCTCACTCCAAGTTGAACATTATACCATATTGATTCTACATATTCTCTTTGGTGGTGTACAGTTAGCGCTTTATTCCTACTATCATTTCTAATTTCAGAAATCAGTACATAACATACAACATATCCCCTCACTGATAAAAAGCATAATTAGAAATACTTTCAAGGCGACAAATTACAAGAACAACAAATTATAAGGACAAAGATGGGAAGGCCTCCTAATGTCCAAAGCACTACTAAGAAATCCTTAATGTCTTTAATCAAGTTTTTAAATCATGTAGCTGATCAAGAAAATTTCAGAAATATTTTACACACTGCTATTATTGGCAAAGTATTGAAATCAAAATTTGTTTTACAGGATTAAGATGAGGGAAGGCTTCAGCCAAAACCCCACCATTGTCCTCTTACCTGAACTCACAGAAGAACACGGAATCATAAGAGTAAGAGTAACATAGAGCAGTGTCCATAAGGGTCTGGGATCTGGATGCATAGTGCCGATTTCCAGAGAAGCAGTAAGACAGATTTCCAGAGAAAACCCAGGCCTTCACTCACTAGAAAGCATTAAAAAAGAAAAAAAAAATCTAAACCACAAAATCCACTGAAATCTTTCATGTCAACCACCAGAGTTGTGAGCATGATGACTGCCCGCTCTCGTGAAAGCTCTGCATGGTTTATGTCACATCCTAGGCACTTAATGATCCACAGCACCTCAATTCACAAATCGATAGGGAGACACTAAATTACAGTTGGAAATTTTATTCATTCTCCTAGGGTACCAGGATACCTTTTATTCTAGAGAACTAGTCATTGCAAATGAATAATTCAACTGCTCTAGTGTCTTTCTATTTATACAACTCACAACTAGGCACAGCCAACATGTATTCTGTCTCCTCATACCCTAAACAACAAAGTCACACCCACAAATGCACAGTGCCTCCTATGTGCCAGACCCTGTTCAGTGCTTCTGATATACTAGTCTTCCTCTGACACAGGTGTTTGATATTCTTCCCTTTACTCAGATGGAAATTTGGGCTCATGGACTGTTCAAACAGAAAGAATATTAAGTGCCAGCCTGTGCTGGAATTGAATTTGACATTCAGTGGTCATAGTGGGATCAGCCAGGAAAGGAACAGTGAGGGATAAAGGCAAACAGGAAGGCTGGGCCGGATTGTACCCACTATTGAAGGTTGTGTGAAGGTTCTAGAACTTATTCTAAATGCTGTTGAGGACTTAATGTGAGAGTGATGTGATCTCATTTATGCTTTAAAAAGACCACCAGCTGATGGAGAATATGCAAAAATGAGAGAGGAAAGGAAGAGGAAGAGCTATCAGGAGACACTGTGATCCCCCAGGAGATACCAGAACATGGTGGGTAAGGCCAGCAAGTCTTCACCTATGGAGGCAGTGAACAAGATTCAGAGTATTTTCTAAAAGTAGAACCAAGATTTGCTGAAGTGTAGGTGTGGAGTGTGAAATAAAAGAATGTGTCAAGGGTAACTTTTTTAAAAAGTGAAGAATAGAGCGGGGGACCCAGAATGATGAGGGAGAGAGCCAGCAGGTCTGTTTGGCCAAGGTAAGTTTGAGATAGCTATGGGGCACCCAAGTACTGTACTACTGTGCAGTCAACAAGGGCACCTGTGAGCCTGGAGCTATAGGGAGACGTCAGAGCTGGACGTATAGATTTCAGACACACAAAAGCCTCGGTACTAGAGGAGCTCTCTTTGGGGAAAATATGTCTAGACGACAGAGGAGACACCAGTTAGAAGCCATGGGATACTCCAACCTTCAGAGAATAAATAGAGAAGAAACTAAGCAGCAATGGAGAGCAAAAGAGACCCAGAATAACAGGCAATGAAATAGGAAGAAATCCAGGAGAATGTTGCATCCAAGGGAGAAAGTGAAAACATTTCTGGAAGAGAGAGGTCAATGTCTCAAACACCAGTGAGAAGCAGAGTAAAGTGAGACACCCTGGGAAAGGCACAGGGAGATCACTGGTGGTCCCAACAAGTGATTTCAGCAGAAAGCAACATTTGATGCTGGGCCAGACAGATGGGAAGGCAGGGGCATAGAGAGCAGCAGCCTTCAAGGGTTTTGCTGTGCAAAGGCAACAAACAGGGAGAATGGCTGGAACCAGATGTAGTCAGAAGGTTTGTCTGTCTGTGTGTGTGTGTGTGTGTGTATGTGTGTTTAATACAGAGATAGTACAGCACATTTAGCAAAACTTTAAAAAGTTCCACAAAGCCAGCACTGGCAAGTCTGCAGGGATAAATCACTAGGATATATTGTTGGTGGAATAAAATCAATTGGTTCTTTATGGAGGTAGTACCTATCACAAGCATTTATTTGTGTGACAAATATTTATTAAATATTTATTACATACTAGGTACACTCAACCAGGTATAGTGGCACATGTCTATAATCCCAGCTACTCAGGAGGCTTAAGCAGAAGGATCTCAAAGTAATCCCTCAGGAGCCGGGGAAAAGCAATTTTCACTACATAAGCAAAAATAACGCAGAAAAAGTTTATACCTTATAGTCTAGAAGGAGAGGTGGACGAAGAACAAGATAAATAAAACCTCCATGCATCCTTGAAACATAGCTAAGATTTTTTCCCTCTGTGATTTGGACACATGTCTACTATTGTACTTTGTTGTAGAACTTGTCTGGTCACATAGCTATTGTCCTCTTTGAAGGCAAAAATGACATCATATTCAATATTGTAAAAATTCTAATGCCTGGTTTTAAGAAAGTAAACACTCCATAAATGTTTCTTAAAATGAATACCTTAATACAATGCATTTCCCAGATGTATGTTAGAGTAGTAGTTAATGAAAACCACCATCTCACTGAAAAACTTAGTGCATTTTTAGCTATATTTTTAATTCTTCATTCTTTTACTCATTCACATGTACAATTCTTCTTTTTTTTTTTTTTTTTTTTGCAGTACCGGGGATTGAACTCAAGACCTTGCACTTGCCAAGCAGGTGCTTAGGCCACTGAGCTATATCCCCAGCCCAATATGTATAATTCTTAAAAATAAGTAAAAATACATTAAGTGCTTGCCATATGCCAGGCATTATGCTAGATCAGGTAATTATTTCTGAAAATTCTGCCTCATGTTCCTGCTTGGCCAGGGTTGGACAAAGAACCTATGACTATAGTCAACATGTAACAATTGTGCTATATTAATGATACTGGGGAAATGAAAATTTTATCTGCATACTCATTATACAAAAAACGGTTAATCTACACCCTGGATAAAACTGGGTAGTAACAAAGCAAGACACCTGACATGACTTCTACTAAGTCAAAGCGTATCTCCCAGGACCTGCTGTTCTCTGTGCCAGGTACAGCAAAACCAAGTTGCAAACTCAAGTCTCTATAGTTTATTGACATCAGGTCACGGACTGCCTTCTCACTTCTTTTTGCTGACCTCTTTTAAAAAGTAGGAGAAGACACCACTCATCAGCAGAAGGTCCCAGCTGTGGGCAAACTCATTTGGTTTATTTGAACTCTCACTTGGTTCAAGGGTAAGAATGAACACACACTGCTGGTAAGCAGTCACAGCAATGTAAACACTCAAATAACCTGTTAACAGGAGACACTTCCCGGAGAGAATGAAGACAGGGAGAATTGTTTCCACCTTTTGCTGAATCTTTCTTTATTTATTTATTAGAAAGCAGTGAAACCAACTTCAGAGGCAACTTTAACCCTAACACATGACCTACTTTCAAGTTTCACAGCTCATTGTTGCTACCTAAATATCATCACACAGGAATTTCCTTTGTTAAATCTGTCTCTACTGGTTACTCAACATATTTCCAGGTGATTTTGGAAGTTGGAAAGAATCTGTGGTCATAAAAGATGTTTGCTAAATATCTGAATCAGCTTACATTTATCCATGGCAAGCTTGCCCAGTTTTTTAGAGAACTACGATAGTGAGAGCGAGGACTTGGTAGTCTGCTGTTATACAGGTCGGATAGCTTGAAATTGTACTCCACAGTTGCCATCAGACCCTCAGGTGCAAGCTCAGTGACTACAGAGAAGAAAAGATGTGTACAAGTCAGAGCAGATCCATTAGCACCACTGGAAGATCGCTCAATGCTATTGCATTTTCAAAAGTACTAGATCAAAAAAGAAACTGCTTCATGAGATTAATGCCCTTGGTATTTGACAAATTATTATAAAACCAAATATATATTATATATAATTTCCCCTGCCCTGCTCTGGCACATGAACAACTAATTTTGTTTAGCCAAGTTTACCACAATTAAATGAGGCTACTGTCATTTCATACACAGGACAGTGGACTGAACATGCATATCATCTCTCTCATCCATAAAAATTTACCTTCTAGAGAGAACAGCCCTCAATTCCTCAAAACAGTTGTTCTCACATCCTCCTCTCACCCTATCTGACAATAGCACCAGCAGAGAAAAGGTTCACGCGAAGAGCGCACCAACCCACAGCACTTCACATGCCACTTCAGTACGCCCTTTGCCAAAGGCTGTTTGACCTCTGTTCTAGAATACACAGAATTCAAACATCCTCATTAAAAACAGAATTCTGATGCAAGTCACATCAGAACAGTATTTGGATTGATATCGTAGTGTCATTTTTTAAACTTCAACATTTCTCTTTCTATTTATTTATTTGGTACCAGAAATCAAACTCAGGACTTGTGCTCGCCAGGCAGCTGCTTGTGCCTCTGAGCTACATCTCTGGCCCTCATTTCTCTCATTTAGAACTTCTTAAAAATACGCAGTGATGTTAACACAATGCCTGGCATTATTTTAAACAAAATATTCAAGGTTTTTCCCATATATTTTACAATGAATATTTTTAAAGTAGAAACTTGTTCACAGAAAGTTTCTAAAACTATACATTGACCAAAAAAACTTACAATTCTATACAGTATATGTGGAAAATATATAAATGTATAAAGAAGAAAGTAATCTAAACATACAGATAACGTATCAATATTCTGATGCACTTTCTAATCCTTATCATATATTTACACAACTGAGATCATAACAGGTAATAGTTTTAAAACCTTTTAATCATTTGTTTTTTTTTTTTTTTTTTTTTTTTTTTTTTGGTTTTTCTCCGGTACCGGGAACCGAACTCACGACCTTGCGATTGCCAGGCAGGCGCTTTTTGCCGCTGAGCTAAATCCCCAGCCCCCCTTTTAATCATCTGTTATCTAATGATCCTTCATGGCCGTTATTTGTCTCCCAGGCAAGTACGAACCAGGCCCGACGCTGCTTAGCTTCCAAGATCAGATGAGACCAGGCGCATTTAGGATGGTATGGCCATAGACTCATGGCCATTATTTGTATCAGCTGCAGAAACTCAGATTATTGGGTGGATATATTTTAATCTACTTAATCATTTCCTTTTTATAATTAGACTACTTTGTAATGTGTGTGTATGTTTGCTATTATAGATGATACTGCCATGAATATCACAGTGCATAAATCTTTAGCCTCTCCTATTTATGCCCTTAGATTTTTCAAGTGAAATTACTGGGTCAAAGAATACAAACATTTTTAAGGCTCTTGATACACCACCAAGCTATTTTCTAAGATGATGACACCAGTGTACAACCCTACCCCAACAAGCACATGATGGTAACTCCTCCTATCAATATGTTGTATCGGTGCTTAGACTGCAGTAAGCAAACAGCGGAATAAAACACCTACACTTTGAGTTATTAATTAAAATGCTTGATAGGGCATAAAGCAATTTTTACTATCTAATCTATTAAATTCTTAATTTAACTTCTAAAATTTAAATTCTTAATTTTGATGTGAATTACATCAAATTTACTGATACTTTATATGAAAATATGCTGTCATTCAAAGAGTACCATTCAGTTCAAAACTATATTCTTACATCCCTATTGCTCTTGTCCATGTACCATATCTACTTCTATTTCCCTAACTTCGGGAGGTACTAAAATAACTCAAGGGGTAGAATTTTAAATTGCATTCAAATCTGTATGTGAAAAACCTAACAGTTAAGGCTTAACTAACTCACTAGTCTCAGAATGAACTGACATGACCCTAGGACAGTTCTTTCACCTCCTTCCTATCTCCAGATAAAGTCCCTGGCCTATACCACTCCCTCTTTTCCACCGTTCTGAGAGGCTGACTTAAGTGAGGAAATGGTCACTAATCACTTTGCTCTCAGGAAAGCCCCTAGGAGTACAGTCTCTCCAGGAAAAAAAAATAACTGTAAAGTTAAAGAAACAAAGAACAAAGTATAATGCCCCATTAAACCTACAAATGAAGACATCTCTTTTCTCCTTGCTGTAGAAATCTTTGGACTGTTCCCCAATCGCATCTGGCAGAATGCTGCTCTCTTTTTGAATCTTGAGGTCACAAAGAAGAGCTGGTATTTCTTAAGCTGGAGCTTTAAGCCCTTCCCTACCAACTACAAAGAAGGCAATTTGTCAGGATAACAAACTGCACTTTATATGCCATCCAAGCTTAGCAGCATTTCTGCTAGTGAAGGGAGGCCAAAGGTATGCCTCATCTTAGAATGAGAAAGGAAATACTTCCCCAACGTTTGCTTAACTTATTGTTCAGCCTGTGAACTTACTGCTTTTATAACCCCTCTTCAACATGCTGCCAGAAGAATCCTTTGGGAAAAGGCCTTCCTGAATTTTTAGATTTGATTACTTTGTTTTTGAAGCATTGCCTCTGCTCTCCTAAGGACGATCAAGGCTGTCTTTTTGAATTATCCCCCTCCCCAGACACATATGTCATACTTTCTCAGAGTTTGCCCTCTCCCCTCCAAGTTTAAGGAATAACTGTTATTAGTCTGTGAACAAAAACTTGGCTTTGGGATCAGGATAGCTCTTCAAAAATAGAAAAAACTACTGCTTGTTTCCTTCTCAAAGGAATCTTATTCTCTGTGAAACATGCTCATTTCCTTCTTTCAAAATAAGATTTAGGGGCTGGGGATTTAGCTCAGCGGCACAGCGCCTGCCTGGCAAGTGCAAGGTCATGAGTTCAATTCCTGGTACCAGAAAAAAAAAAAAAAAGATTTATCCCTATTTTCAAATTATCCATTTCAAAACATCTATTTATCAACTGATAAAAAATGAGTTTTCCATAGTAATTGAAAAGAAAAACTAAAATATACTTACTTAAAAATTCTTCATTAGGTATGATCAAGATTAATTCTGTACAGTTTCAGTAGGGGAATCAAATACACAATACACTTTTTTAAAAACCCACTGAACTACCTGGAATTCAATCACATACAACTTTGTCTTACTATCAAAGTTTTTTCCACTCAGAATATTTAAATGATATAGCTAAGACACTAACATTTCCTACACAAACTTTTCCCAAAAAGCCCACAGTATTCATTCAATCATTTCATCCCAAATATAGGACATCTACTTGGGCTGAGACCCTATGAGCAGTACAAAGACAAGGATGGCATAATTCCTGTACTGAGGGATACTGCAGCTCAACAGAAAAGAGGGCATGAAACTAAGTGCAGAATAAAGAAAAAAGTACAATGAGAGAGCAAAAAGTATTAAGAGTTCAAGCCACAGGCATTCATCTTCTATTCAGCAGATTCTCAATGCATGCCTACTATGTATCAGGCACTGTGCCTTGCTTGGACCCATGAACAAATGAGACACAGGATCTGCCTGCATAAGACTTACAATCAGGCGACAGGAGCTGACAAGTGCAGAAGCCAGTACAATATAGACTTAGATTTAACATAGCAACTGTTCAGATAGCAACTTTTTGCAATAGTGGCTGTTTTAAAGTTCCTGGGTTTCTTTTTATTCAGTGTAACAAATTTCCAACCAAAAACTCAAGAAAAACACTCTTAAAAGGGGTGCTTGGCTATCACAGTTTCCAAGATGAACTCACCACTAGATTGGACGCCATGATTTTTAGTTGGAAAGCATCATATAGAAAAGACTGGATTGGCCGGGCATGGTGGTGCATGCCTGTAATCCCAGCACTCGGGAGGCTGAGGCAGGAGGATCGTTGCGAGTTTAAGACCAGCCTGGGCTACAAAGTGAGCTCAAGGCCAGCCTGAACTGCATAGTGAGACCCTGTCTCAAAAAGAAAAAAGAAAAAAAGAAAAGACTGGATTGCACGCTGTTTGAATGGCACCCAAATAGGGTATCTTGTGGACAAAAGCCCTGTGAGGACAGTGACTTTTTCCCTCATTTGTCTACATTGGTAACCACCATTTCCTCAGGTCATGAAGCTCCCACATGCTCAGCCTTTACTGTGTTGTAAGATGTTGTTCTCTGCTATAACTTTATTTTTAAGTGCAGTTTGAGGTAAGACACTGAAGAACCTTAAAAGATTTCCTACCTACAAGCCCACGTCCTGACCTGGTCCTCCAACCACCTTCAATGAACTTCCTCAGGAGGCCTCTACCACCCTCAGGGTTTCTCCTTTGATGGGTATAATCAAGCCAGTGTGTTTTATTTAAGAACAAACTTTTTAATTGACTGTCAAAGTACTGTTCAGCACTCTACAAATTTATTTTCATTGTCCAATCAATGTACTTTCTTTTCTTTCTGTGAAAACTGGCTAGCTCGGGTTGGCTGGAGCATGTCATTTTTTTCCACCAAAATCAACAAACATTGTTTTCACTAAAAGGCAGAGTTTTTAAGACACAAAGGATTTCAGAGAATAAAGCAGTTAGGTGAGGGAGGAACTGGGTGAGCCAAGAATACACATGCAGTTGCTCCAGGAAAAAAACGGAAGCTCACTTAACCTAGACTTGGGAAGCGAAGACTTCTCGGAGGAAACAGTGATTAGGTGAAATCAGATGAGTACATTTAGAGAATGAGATGAGGAAAAGAAGAGGAACAAAAGGGCAAGATTCCAAGCAGAAGAACAATTTGCAGAATCAGAGATAGGACAAGAAAGTATGGCCTGGAGAAGAAAGAACAGGAGGATAGCCCACTATGAGAGGTAACGCTGCATGGGTGGACAGAAAGGAGAGCATAAAGAACAATATAAATCATGTTATGGTGTCTGGCTTTTATCCTGACAGAAAAAGTGCAAGGCTTTTCTGCAGGCAAGGACAAGCTGCAACTTGTGCCCTGCAAGATGGG